CTTTCTGTTCGCCCGGAAAAAAATTTAATGTTCCATGCTAAACTTCGTAGACTATCTTTTGCATTGAGCGGTGTTAATTTACCTATCGACATGTATTTGTTGTCCGTTTTCAAATGGGATGTAAGGAAAAAGCTACTGACGCTTGCCATTCGCGTTGGTTAGTTGACGTGACAAAGAATTCGTGCAAAGAAAAGCCGCCTCCTGGCAGGTGTCTTCGCGACGTCTTCAACGTTTGCTGTTCAGTGTGTACACTCCGCTCCTAATTCCCCTAATCCTCTCTATCTTCCGAATGACTGATTGCGTGGACTGTCTCGTTAGGATACACAGTCTTCGCCAATCCCCAAGGTCACACTTTGTATCTACTGTGAGTAGTAGCATGCAGACACTCCCTCACAAACCCAGTATCCTAAGGGGTAATACTCGAGTGCTACATTTGTAGTCTGGCCTGGTTGAGGGTTCTCCAATAGCAACGCCTAGGCAACTCTCAGAATCGCTGATAGAGTGGAACCAATGAATGGCGAGTGAAATCTAGCACAGTTGTGGAATCCTGAACCAATGAGAAGCTGGTGTCCAGCAGGTTAGCAATGCACATGTACGTACGGGCGATGTGAAATCGTTGGTAGAGTATGTAAAGTAGCAAGCGGATTTGTGCTGCGCACCTTCAACATCACATGTTTGTGGATGAATCGGTTTCGTTTTCTCGGGCAAAGAGTAGAGATGGGGGCCAGGAGGAGGGGTAGGGGGAATTGACATGAGTCATCCAATTAAGCGTCAAAACGCGTGCCCAAACACAAAAATAGACATTCAACTAGATATTTCCCGTGAAATACATGCACATTTCATGCTAGGAGTTCACCCAAATTTTTCTCACATTTAACGCTTCTGTGCGCAAAGAGGCAGTAGACCAATGCACCCCTTCTCTGAGCAAACAATAATGGAAATGTCAGGTAATGCGAACGTGAGAGGAACCTGTTTGACCTTTACCACAACCAAAATAGTGCGCAGTCCTAATTGCACGTTAAATTGCTAAGCAGGATCAGTGTGAAATGAAACATTCAGCACGATTATTTGGCGATAAATCTCATCTTTCTTAAAAATGATGGAAACCCAAGAACTTTTATATCATTGAATTAGCTCCGCCCATCAAAGACATTTGGTGCTTGTAGCACAGTCGGCCAACTAATGGTACCTTCGAGGTACAGCTTCTAGCCAAATTTGAATGAAACCTAGGAGGCGCATCACCATTGTTGAATAAAAAACTTTTCCAAGTAAAATGAAGAATTATGCCAAGCTGACTGATGAAGGGGAAGAAAAGGGGCAATAACATTGCTAATCTGGTTTAGCAATACGTTCTTTATTCGTTCATCAAAACTGGTGGCAAACAATCTCACCACAAGTAGGGTGGTTGAGGTGAAAACGTCCAAGGGCTACAAGATGTTAGTGGTCGGTGATTAATCACATCTGGGTTAGTGCTGCAGCAGAAGTTGAGTTGGCCAGTCGAGTAGTCCAGGCGACGGTGCCACACTAGAACAATAAATCATCTGGGCTATGGTAGTGGCGTTTTCCCTGAGACCCTGATGGCAAGTGTG